CCCCCCGGGCCCTCCGCGGCGCCGCCTGCCACCACTGAGAGCCGCCGCCGCCCCCCCGCGCCCCTCCCGGCCCCCCCAGAGCACCAGCAGCCATTTCATCTCCACCACCACCACCACCAAGTAGGCGCAAAAAATGGCAGAAATGGAGAAAGAAGGGAGACCTCCCGAAAATAAAAGGAGCAGGAAGCCGGCTCACCCGGTGAAGCGGGAGATCAACGAGGAGATGAAGGTAGGTGCCTGTGATGGGGACGGGAGCGGGGTCCCCCCCGCACCCCCCGCCTCCGAGCGTGGAGATGAAATAAGAAAGGATCTCTTGTCATTTTTTTTTTTTTTGTAGGATGCACTGAATGTGTCTCAACTCCGCCTCCTGGGCTGCAAACAGAGACGAATTCACAGGCTGCAAACCCTGTTCATTGACCAGCTTTATTTATTTTTTAAAAATAACTCTCTCGTTGGGCTTTTAAGCTCCTCGGGTGCCAATGATGGGCCTTTTTTTTTTTTGCCTTTTTTTTTTTTTTCTTTCTTTCTATAGCCATCCCCTCAGGTAGCTGGGAAGCCCTTAAAGTTAGGAAAGAAAGGGATCTCTTTTAAACGTTGTATTTCTGTCCTTTTTTCAGTAGCCAGCTGCAACTGTGTAATTAAATTGTCAAAGTGAAACGTTGCGGTCTGAGCCGTGCATCAGTCTCGCACTCCAGCGCGGAGACCCCTTTTCTCTCCTTCTCCCTCTCGCCTCCTCCTCCTCTGCTGTACCGCTTCGCTCCGCGGCTCACGGCAGCGCAGAGGTGTCGCTGGAAGGTGCCTTGTCCGAGGGCTGCTTTTGATGGAAGTGTATTTACCGCGCGGTGGGCTGTCCTGCCTGATAGGAACCGGTGCCGCTCTAGCTGTGTTCTGGCGGCCGCTCCAGATGTTGGGATGGTTGCGATGGCACAAACCCGCTATTTTGGAACTTCTTTTATCATTAGTTCGTTGTTCCAGGCTGGACCAGTCCTAATTTTTGCGCCTGTGTTCCATGTCTGTTCCATGTCTGTTTGTTTGATGTCTCTAATTCCCTAAAGTTGGTAACAATGTATTGCTAGACTTCAGCTGAACTTATTGTTAAATGAACAGATAAAGTGACTAAAACAGCCTAGTCTGGCTGCGAGATAAAGCTGCTGAGATTTAATTTGAATATGTCATTTATTAAAAGGCTGATTGTAAGTGGAAGACTGCCTGGAATATGTCACTTGTTCACGTAGTATGCATACTATATAGGCGACTGTATAAATATGCATGATACCTAGTGAAAATATCTTTGCTTTCCGGAACATTGATCTCCCCATATAAAATTAAACGGGAATGCACCGTTCCCTCCCCTCTCCCCTCTTTCGCACACCACTGATTTCGGCTAGGTGCCCTTTCCTGCCCAAGGCAGGCGTTCTTGTTCTTGCTGCCTGTGTAATGAGCGTGTACATGGTTCTGTGTGCACTTCAAGTGTAAATGTGGACAAGGGTAGCATTAGGGGCACGAACAAAATAATGTGTTGGTGCATCTCTTTGGAAACAAACTGTAGTAACTTCATGTCCAGAGGAGCGGGATCTTTCTTTGTGAGATATGTGACACATCCTATTTTCGGAGAGGGCTCTGTGCAGCTACCAGAGAGTCATTGCTCATTGTAATCCCACATAGTTTTGAGGACTGCAGAGGTCTGTAGTACAGGGCATTGGCCCCTCAGAGCATCGCCTAATGTGATCTATATGGATTGCAGCTTTTAAGTTTCATAGGTTCTAGAATTACAAATTAGCTAATTTTAATCAAAACATGTGAAATGTTATCCTGGCTGGATATAAAGGCTGACTGTGCTGGATCCTCTGGGTTTGTTTTGTTTACTTTGGCTGCAGGCACACTCAGCGGTTTGGGAGATAGTTGTTCTTCTACAGTATAACAGATGTTTGTCTGAAAGGGTGAGGAAGAAACAAAAACAACATTGTGTGAAGGAGAAAAATTACACAATTTTAAACTAATGCTTTGGTATTAAGCACTGGCATTAACCTTCGTATAGAGAGTTTCTCTTTTTTAATCATGGCTAACTGCTTAAGGTTAGGAACCTCAAGATTTCAGCTGACTTAAAAACTAAATGTGTGTAGAAAGGACATTATGAACCGTTGTAATTTCTGGTTGAGAGTGAGACAGCTGATGGCAGAACCTTCCATAGCCCACCTTTCAGCATAAACTATGCTATATATGCTATGCGTTTAGTAGGACAGTTAGCTGCTATCATCTAGGAAGGGAAAAAGAAGGGGAAGGAAAAAGAAGTAGTTTGAATTTTTGACCGGTTGAGAAAGTTAAAATTCTGTGGCAATCATTTAGCCTTTTTCTTTACTGATGAATGCAGATGTCTAGTTGCTCTTAATAAACCCGGAGAATACAATAATGTAACGAATTGGTTGCAGTGTGCAAAATGTTTGCAGTGAAATGACAGAGGGAGCACAATGTGCCCTTGTGTAGGTTTGTATCTGTAATGTTCAAACAGGCTGACTGTTTCCCTTCATTTGAGCTGCTTTCATCTGGACCAGTGTAAAATAAGCTCTGGTAAGTAATCACAGCAGAGCAGAAAGAAAGGAATGTATACAGCAATAGACAGCCTAAGCTGTAAAAACTGTAACCTGAGTATCTGCAGCAGATCAGATATCAAGGCTTTAAGGTAGGGGAAATGAAAGAGATGAAGGGGAGGAAAAGACGAGAGAGGGAATGGAAAAGTCAGCTTGGAAAGTAAAGGAGAAGTAGGAGGGCCCCCTCAGGGAAATTTGGCTCAGGGGTTAGGGAATTTTATCATGGTGTACATTGACCTACTCAGGTTTCAGCCCACATTGGATTGAATTTCCTCCCTTTGCTAGCAGAAAGAGAAAGGACTGGTGTATATGTGATTTCTTTTTTCCCCCCTTTGGATAATAAAAAGACCATTGGTACAAGTGTCTATTTTAAGTATGGTAAATTCAAGGCACTATGAATGAGCAATAATATTACCTCATCACAGAGACTTCCTTCGAGATTTGCTGTTTGATACAGTCAGATATTTACTCGAGAAGGATCACAACACCTCGCTGCTTGCTTTAGTGTTTTCCAGCAGTAGTGTCACAGCTTGATTTTAACATGACTGGATGGATATTCAGGTTGCTCGCTCTTTCCTTATGCCAGATATTGAGTTACGTTTTTGTTATCGCTAACCTAATGTATAACGATGATTATAACAAATTTTAATTTGATACAATGTTGTGTGCAAAAAGTACGTGACTCTGCACAGTTTTCTGATATTATGTTTCAATGAAATATATATTCACGAGGAGCTGTTTTGTTACACTGTGACCTTTACAGCCACTCTTTCCTATTTTCTAGCTGTTTTTTCTTTTGTCCTCCTTCCTCCTTCAGGTGAGACTTTCCAGTTTTTCTTCCAGAGGTGCCATTCACCTCGCGCCGTGGAAGAAAAGCAGACAGTTATCCTGAAATTCCATTTGGTGCCATTTTTCACCTGCTGGTGAAAAACAAAACACTTAATAGATCCAAACGTATTGTCACCAGGGAACCCACTGTTATTTTTTAAGACCAAAATATTTGTAAAAGTTTAATTGATGAGAGCACTTATCTAGGCACCGTGGTGGATCCCCCATCCATCTGCCCTCAGCTTATTTCCGTTTGCCATCCTACTGCCAGGAAGCAGTGCTGCTCTGGAGGAATAGCTAGGTGCTCTGCAATGCTGTGAAGTGAGGTTACATACAGTACTGAATTGTACTGGAAGCTCTCCTGCATGGATGAGGCAATCTGTGCATCCGTGTGTCTCTAGCAGTTGAAAGGTAAGGAATTAATTTGAGTTGTAATTTCATAAGATTGCTCCATGTGGCCAAGGAGTTTGGTGTCCATAAATATTCTCAATAACTAATTTGTATCTAAAATTGGGCATTGTTCCTGATGCCTAAAGCTTAGGGCAGCCCTATCATTTACTAGTAAACTCATCAGAATATTTTTCAGTTTAGTGTTTAAATAGTCCCTGTTTGGCATTTGAAAGTACTGATGTCAGAAGGAGGAAAGTGGTGAAGCAGGCGTAGCAGCCCTGTGCCTGGAGCAAGCCCGTTTGCTCAGAGCGCTCGGAAGATTCCAAGGAAACTCCTCCCTTCTCTCCTGAAAAGCAAAAAATATCTTTGGGAAAGTGGAAAAGCAGACAGATTTTATCAATTGTATTCTTTCAGGAGACCAAGGTTTTTCTGTGGAGTATGCATGGAAGTTTTGTGGGATGGCTGCAAAGGGCTTTCCTGTCTGCACAGGGAGCCTCACCTGGCAGGGCACTGCAGAAATAATGCTTCCCCAAACAAAGCGGGTTACACAGAACTAAACATACATGAGAGGACAAAGGAAAGTAAAGTATCATGGAATTTTGCTTTCTGATAGAGTAAAGGTCTAATCATAAAATTCGGTATGGTGACAACATAAACAAGCAAAGAATGTGGGGGCTGGGAAAAAAGATCCAAGTTTGTATAGTGCCTCTAGAAACATTTTTATTTCCTTGATGCAGTGAAAGTGAAAAGTGAATTTGTGGGGCTCTGCACTGAGTGGGTTATGCAGGCAAGGAAATGGAATGGAGCCACTATGCTTCCTCCCAGATCTGAAATAAACATTCAGCAGTAAAACCTAGAAGAAAATGAGTCTGACAGACTCATTCTCCCCTGTGTTTCCTGCCTCCGTGTTTGCCAGGCCTCATTCGGTAAAGCCAGGTCTTGCCCCCTGTGAATAAGGTTCATAGAGAAAGAAAGTCAGGAGATCTAGGATAGAAAGAGATGCATGACATAGCTTGAGAATGTATTAATTAGCAAAGATTTTGGGAAATTATGCATTGTAATGTAAAAAATAAAACTGTAGGTGTACTGCTATGACGAAATGAATCCTAAAGTGAGAAAAAATGTGATTATATTTTTACTGCCTAGCATATAAGTCAGAAAGGAGGGAAACCGCAGTCTAGCGAGTCAACACACTCTTCTTCATCTTTCAGGGGAACAGGGAGCAAATTCCAGTCGAAATACCAATGAGTAGAACAGTTATCCTGGCCCTTCCAGGAGGGAAGATATTTTTGTGTAGTACAAGAATGGAGAAATCATGCAGTTAAAACATGCAAATTACACATTGCCCCACGGTGGTGATAAGTGGTTTGGGACTTAGCAGTGGGCAAAAGTTGAACTGCCATCTATTGGGAAGGAAGGGCTTTGGCTGTGGTGCGTGACTGGGGCCACCGGTGTGCTTTTGGGCCATTTTCTTTGGCAGGCATGAACTGGTTGTGCCGCAGCCATGGTGAATGCTCGGGTAGTCAGCAGCTGTAATGGTGCTCTGTCAGCTAGAGAAGAGCAGGAGGTTTGGCTCCTGTGGGATGTTAACCAACTGCCTGGGTGTGCTGGCAGCTGCAGGGGGGACTGGTGTTTCCACTGTGGTCTCAAAAGTTTGTCTGCTTGGTGCATAGCGTGGCAGAATGAGCATGGAAGGACATGGGACAGGATTTCTGTGGTTTTCTTCTCAGCTCTGATGCTGACCCACACTGTGGGTGACACCATGGCTCAGTCTCTGTTTTCACACAGGGGACTGAGCGTTGCCTCCACACCTGGCTGAAGCTGGGCTCTGTGCTGTACATTTGCAGTGAAATCTGTGGGTCCCTGCAGGGAGGCTCTGTTTCAGCTGAGGGGATGTAGGGGTCCCAGCTTAGCAGTGTGATTGTTGAGATTTTATTGATTATGAGCAAGGTTTTCTCCCTGTGCTTGTCTTTCACATCATCCCAACCCTTTGGCACAGCTGTGGGATTGGGGTGGCAGCCTCATCCTGCAGACACTCCACATCCTTTTGGGGAATGAGTCTGAAAGTAAGCATGGACTACCTTAACGCCTCTGCTGTCCTGTTCCTGCCAAAGCTTCGAAATGCAGGTCCTTGCACATCCTCCATCTGGTCATTTCTGCCTTTACCTCTCCTCCCTGGTCTTTGGCAGATCTATTATCTTGCAATTCCTCTGGCTCCTGTCTAGCCTGCTTGATCACTGCTGCTCCTGCTTTTCTGCTCCAATGTTGAGTCCATGTTCCTGCTTTTCTCAAGCCTGAGTGTTACAATCATCACCCTTCCTTTCACTAAGCCTTTGAAACTTATATATCTTTCAGTGATGTTCTGCTCTGCATGTACAGGTTGTGTATTAATATGATTTCTTCCTTTCCTTAGCTTCACCAAGAACTGGTCTTTGTCTCTCTTATTTTTTTCTTTTTCCTCTTTCTCCCTTCCCTTGCATTCACACAGAGAAAAATTATCTCATTTGTGTTTTGACTATTGCCACTACTCTGGTCTTTACAAATCCCGTCTTGTTACCATGTCTTGAATCCACATGTATTGTGTCTATCATTGAAACAGAAGAAGGGAAAATGCATGAAAACAATGAATTAATAGTGGTCAGCTTCAGGGCAGTGGCTTCAGCATGGTCTCAACTGTCAGGGTGTTAGACATCTCTGCAAATGGGTGTTGTAGTCAGGAGTCTGAGGGAAGGTGATGTTGTTCTTTGGATACAGATCTGTGCAAGAGAGTCAGCGTGGAAAAAAAACATTTCTCAGGTTTGACACTCAGCTTGCTGAGGATGGGCTCATGCTTTCCATTTGCTGTGAGTAAAGTGTGGTGTAATGGAGTTCTGGCTGTTAGTCACTGAGAGAAGGGTATTGAGGGTGACTTGCAGCATTGTAGTAGGTAAGATAAATTATGGAGGAGAATGGCTTGGTTTTTTTTTTTTTGTTTTGTTTTGTTTTTGTGTTTTTTTGGGTCTTTTTTTAATCCTAGCCACTCTTTTGGGGAAATCAGCGTTAAAAGGTGCTTACTTTTGTTATTCCTGGCATGCAACCTCATTGTATTCTCATTGAAGTTAGTAGAAAGGATCCCACTGATTTACTATTTTATAAGAGAGTCAGATCTCTATGATGAGTGATTTTGAAATCCAATGTATTTTTTTTCAGTATGAGTGTTCATTTTGGCGCATCACTTATCATGGATGGTTTAAATGAGACATGAAAGGTACTTAAATTTGGTGCCATTACAAACCCAACCATCATTTTGACTGCATTTCGAAGGGACACATAAATGTATGAATTTTCATGAAAAAACAAACATATGTATAACCTTGCTTATGTGTTCCTTGACAAGTAATTAGAAATTATTCATTGTCTGAGTTGATCAGCAGCGCAAATAAAACACAAAGCATCCACAGGAGGCAAATTTAGAGCTACTCAATTAATTTGGTTGCATGGGGTTTAAATCGGTAAGACTTTGTCAGTCGGTCTCTACCTTGCTAGATTAGTCTCTAGGGCTGTGTTTCCATAGTTGAAGTTTAGCAAAGCAAGGGAGGGCTGGCAGACCTTGCCTTTGGGCCTCCATGGGCCCTTTCATGTAATTTTGGGTGAGCTGGATTGGTGAGATTTGGCTCCCCAGGTCCAGGTCATTTTGTTATTGGGTTCCCATGGGTTACAAAAGGGGTTAGTGTGTCGGGACTCTTCAATGCTAGGAGAAGAGTTTTCTGAAAAGATAAGAAAAAATAAACCAAACAAAAAAATCAATAAATTTTTTTTTTTTTCATTTTGCTGGTGTTTAAAAGACAACACAGCATCATTCAAATTATTTAGGTAATAGTTAGCCACATTTACACTGCATTGTACTCATTGAAAACTGTAGTAGTGGTGTAATTCAGGTATCATACTTATAACGCTAAGTCCAGAAGTGGAGGTGGCATGATGGAATATTTTCCAGCAATTTGAGGCTGCACAGGACAGCCACAGAATTGTGACTTCCATCAGACAGTAAGGTGAAAACACAAAAAGGAAAAACCAAAAGGAAATGGATGCTTTAGGGGTCTGCTTTGGGGTTTTGTTTTGGGTTTTCTTTTCCTGAAATGTGTTTGTAGCATAATTGCACACATGATACTCTTGGAAGAGTACAAATTGCTTGTGTTTATTGCTTATAGCTGCTTTACAGTGCTCCTTGAGTGACAGGAACACCTATGTAATCTAGTGTGATGAATGAGCCAGGAGCAGTGCAGCACTCTGAGGTTCTGGGGCACAGCGCCTGCTGTAGCTTTGAATTCAAAAGCAATTATCATCTGATTAATTTTATTTATTTGTTTAAATGACTGGAGAATTGCTGTGTTCTATCATTAGACTTTCTTCCACTCAAAAATTAAGCTAGAGCAGTTACTAGACAAAATCTGGCAACCTGCAAATTTGACATTTACCATTTGTTTTGAATTGGTGTTGTATTCTCCTTATTCCTTTGCCAGAGTCCCAGGAGACAGTGCTTATCAGAAGCATTATTTTAGAAGTCAAGATCTTGGAGGAATACGAAGTTTGGAATTTGTTTCAGAAGAGTGTTAATAAAAAAAAAAAACACAAAAACCAAATAGGCTCTGTGTGTGGTTTTTTGGTTTCAACTTAGAGTTGTCATACTATTTTAAACTGATCTTTGCCATTGCAATAATTCATTAGCTGGTTTCCTTTGGTAGTTTCCTAAACCCATAAGCTGTAGAGCTCTGTGGCACTATTTGGTTTCAGAAAGCTTTGTTGCTTGGCTGCAGATTTCTTAACTTATTCCACTAAATCTCCTGGCCCGGTAATGAGCATTTTCTACAGAAATATTTTTTGCTTCATGACCTAGAGGACATATTTTTAATAGAAATTGAGGGTTATGACAGTCATGTTCCATACTTTGCATTTCCATACAGACATAAAATGTAACCACTCAGCCGCTTGGAAATTGGTTTGAAAATAAATACTGCAAAATTGAGAAAGGTTTCCTTAAACAAATATAAGAAATATTTGTATGAAAAATGATGGTAGAATGCTTTCACAGTGAAGAATCTTTAAGTGCTTTGACTATGCAAGGGCTTATAACTGAGAAAAAATGTCTGCTGTGATTTTATTTGATTTGCTTCATGGGCACCTCAAGGAACTGTAATTGTGTCAGTGACCTGCTCCAGCTGAAAAGACTGTAACGCAGTAAGATTGATTAACTGCTGGTTGAAAAAAAAATCCTGGTTTTCTGTTATTCTCTTGCTTCAGTCTTAAATATTTTATGGCAACACAGACAAGTTTGTGTGAGGAATGTACGTTAAAATATTTCTGATGTTGAATGTCAGAGTAAAAGTCATAAATAACTCTCCTTTTCATTTTCTTTAAATTACAGACATATGAGTCTCTGTCATAATTACATGTGCCAGTCAGAGATTTAAATGCATTTCACTTTACGCACTTGAGTTATGAAATGAACATTAGTCTTTGAGGAGGTGGGCCAAACCTGACACTTCCTCATGTAGCACAGATATGGTTCGATTTATGCAGTCCTCCCTTCCTTCCAAATGGTTATTGATTACATAAATAAGTAGGTAATTTTTCTCTTTCAGAACTTTGCTGAAAACACTATGAATGAGCTCCTTGGCTGGTATGGTTATGATAAGGTAGAACTGAAAGATGGAGAAGATATTGAATTCAGGAACTACTCAGCAGATGGGGAAAGCCGCCAGCACATTTCTGTTCTCAAAGGTAACGAGACTTCATGTTTCTGTGTTCATGTAAAGAAGGATTAATCGCTCAACCTGTCTGATTGGTGTTGATTGCAAAGCATGTTCTGCTGCTTGCATCTTGGTTGCTTTACATAAAAATATCTGGTTTTTAAAATAAAAATTCCTTGTGGTACAGAGAACCTGATAGGGTATGAGCGAAGTCACTTAACGAATTTGCTGTTGGTGTATTGATATATTGTTATATACTGATATATATCTTCACAAATAATGCCTTTCATGTGTCAGTTGAAAGCCATGTGCCTGTGGTATCAATAAACTACTCACAGCTGGAGAAAGGAGGGAGTACTTTCTTAGCCAGGTGGCTTTAAGGAACCCTTTTGTTTTCCATGCTAAGTCTGGTTGGCCTACAACTTTTTAAAATATTGAAAGATTTTAAACTGGAATATTCACGCATGTAGGAACAAGTGTGAATATTCACAAAAGGCTTTTCATCCATATTTGTACTTTGTCTTCTGCACTGTAGTAGATGTTTTCCATGGATGGAATCTGTTTGAGACATTGCCGAATCTTTTTGATTCAAAATGTAAAGGATGAGAGCCTGTTGGTTTGTTCAGTCATTCAGTTTTTGCCTTCTGGCTCCTCAGTCTCAGGGAATGGATAGGGGCTTCTCATCAGAGTAAGGAGAAGAGTAGAAAATTGCTGCATCTTGACTTATCCAATGGGAGTTCCTCAAAGGTGAGGTAAAGAGAGGAAATTCCAGCAGCTTTTATGCACTTTGAGTGCTAGTTTTCACTGTGTTTGTGCACAGCAGTGTTTGGGTTTTCTTTCTGATAGCCAGCAGCAGCACTGTATTCAGTGAGTGTTGCAATGAGTACTGACACCAGAGAGACCAGTGCTGAGGGACAGATGGCTAGAAAAAGGAAAAAAAATTAGAGGTAAGGTGAAACAACCTAATTGTGTTAAAATTGAATGTTTGCAGCTTGTTAGTTCTATAACAACATTGGTGATCAATATTTATTTTTCAATGAAAACATAATGTCATTAAGCTGCCTCTGAAGAAACTTGTGCTTGTGTTGTAATGCACTTAATTTATTTCTGTTTTAATAAATACCTCTTTTACTGAAAGATTACTGGCTCCAGTCTATGCTTGATGAAATTTGTGGCATACTTTTTTTATAGGCACATGATACAAATCGTATGTTTTATGTACCATAGATGTCACATGCCTGTGACAGGTAGAAATTTTTGCTGTATGAAATTTTTGGGAGGGGAAAAAGCACATTTCTTGTTCTGAAAGATGGGAGAAGAGGGAGTCCCATGGGTGAGATATATTAGAGAAATTCATACAAATAAGAATCCTGAGGTGATTTGGGATTAAAGAATTAGAATAATAACTGTCATCATTTTATGCACACTTTGATGTGATTTCAATATTTTGTTCCTTTCTTTAAATTCTGTTACTACTCATTCATTGTTACTGCTCACTATTTATAGAGAACAGGAATTCTTTTATTCTTCAGTTCATGCTCCTTGTACTAGTGAAGCCACAGCACATTGAGTGTGATCACCATACAAACAGTAGAAATGAAGTACAAGAATAGGATGACTAAATCAGGCATATTAAGGCTATGCATGACAAAATAATCCCACCTTTTACCTTCTGCAAAAAGAAAGCATGAGTTTTGATTTTGAAAAAAAAATGGAGCACTTCTGAAGATTACTGGAAAGTATAAATTTCTTTAAAAGGGAAAAAACTTGGGTTTTTTTATGCACTGTTCTTGTATTAAGGTAAGTAATTTAATGAAGAGATTGGTGAAAGTATGTAGGGCCATTTAAGAAATTTATGTGTCATACTGTATAATATGTTCTTTGTATTTTACAGAAAATTCTTTGCCAAAACCAAAATTACCTGAGGACAGTGTTATTTCACCGTACAATATAAACCCAAGCTACCCAGGGCTTGCTACAGGAAATGGACTATCAGACTCACCAGCAGGGTCGAAGGATCATGGGAATGTACCTATTATTGTCCCATTAATTCCACCACCTTTCATAAAGCCACCAGCAGGTAAATCCTAATGAATATGTAAAAATTGTTACTGTTATTGACAGTATCCTGAGATCACTGCATCATGGTATCTTAGCAAGAGGGCTGATTTCAAAATTATTAAAATCCAGTCACAGGGAACTTTAAAAATGAGCAGGAGAGTGGCTTTAATCACTTCAGTATTCTTGAAAAACTCCTGAAATGCAATGACAACAAACTTAGATTGCTTGTGTCACTCCTCATGCTGGATTTTGCTTTCATCACTTCAACAGCATTTGCTTTTAGGAAAAAAATAAAGATTTTGTTCTGGTGAATAAGGCCTTTAACTAAATTAATGGAGAATTATTAAATTAAAAATAGGCTGTATGAAGGAAACAGTGAAAGAGACAAAGCCATCAAATCAGTATCATGTCTTTATATCAGATTAACAAGCTCATACTGGGAAACTGTCTCTTGATTCCCATTGAAATCCCTGACCGCTGTCTCTCAAGGGTTTAATATGATCTTGACTCTACCCAGGAGACTGCACTGAGATGTTTTACATTTTCATTAGATTTTTATCAGGAGTGGTTTTCTAACATGCCATTCCTCAGGGTTTGCATGAAAAATGATTTATTCCCCTCTGCATGTTGCTTACTGTAATCTGTGAAAGGAGCTCTTACGGCTACACCAGGGTGATTAATTGTTGTGTTATTGTTTACTGCTCCACACGGTGTGAAAATTGGTGAATCCAGATAGGAGCAGGCTGAGTCCTGCTTCCGTGGACAACCCTGGGTGGTGTTGTGGTTGTTCTTGAGTGACCAAGGCACTGAGGAATACAGGGTGACATGAAACTCCTGCCCAAGAACATCAGCTCTCCCCACACAGTGCTAAAGAGATCCTAGCAGGTGCTAGGATGCTTCTGCAGAGGCAGAACTGCTTGTAGGATCAGGTCCCAGGTGTTGGATGGTCACCTCCGCCCTTCGTAACTTTGTCTAAAGGTAGCTGTAAAATACTGATTGATTCAAGAAAGTGTTTGACTGTTGATCATTAACAGACTAGAGTTGCCCCTCCTAAATTATTGTTATGCCATTGAGTTTTATCTCTAAAGAAGTATATAATATGCTATGAATAATTTTCAAATGTTACTCAATACACGCTCCTTGCCAAAGACTTTCAATCTATTTTATATGATATTTGCTAATTACCAGAGCTATTTGGGCCCATTCCTGCAGCCTTTACACAGCTAAAGATCTCAGGCCATATGGGCTGGATCCTCAGCTGTTGTTGATTTGGCCCTAAAGCTTTAATCAAGGGCTTGTGCCATCCCAAGCTATTTTCCCCTCCAATCTGAGTCACAAATGAATCCAGAATGCTGAATTTGTGGTATGTGAACACAAGGCTATAGCATGCATTGTGCAAATTGCCACAGTTGCTGGATTTTTATGACACCAAATAAGCAGGAGGAGATTGAACTATGAAGTAGAAAAACAAATTACTGCAACAGTAGTTAAGTGGACACAAGGGAATCTTGGCCAAGTCAACTGCCTTCTGTTCTTTGCCTGTCCACCTACAACATATGATTCTGTGTTCAAATGTACCTCTAAGGGTAATGTGTAGAGAGAGCTTTTCGTAAGTGTTTTCCTCCTTTAGGTTTCTAATTAATTCATTAACAATGAATATTTGTTGTACCTGTACAGGAGATATGAATGCATAATCTCTGCCTCCTCTGACTTTATCCTATGATCGGTAATGAGCACTAGATTACCATGACTTCAGAGCAGATGAATGTATTTATCTCACCTTTGTTTTAGAGACCAAAGCTTGGGAGGGTTGGAGAGGGAGGAGGATCAGCACCTTTGTGGGATTTGCAAGTAGCATGGGTAGTAATGGTTTTGTTTTATCTCAGGGCGTAGGTGCCCTAGCCATGATCACCCCGAAGAGCCTGGCAAGAAACAACTGGTAGGAAAGGGAGTACAAAGGCGCCAGGAGAGCCAGTGTGCGAGGCAGTGGTCTTGGCACTGCACTTTGACACCATTTTGTGGGCACTACATCAAAGCAGAAAACTTCAGAGTGATACAAAGCCAGACAAGAGTAACTCTGGGGATGTTTTCTTGGAGTCCCTTGCAAGCATAGGGGATGACTTTGGAAACAGCACAAAGGTGCTTCTTTGAGTTGAGCAGGCAAATGAATTGACTCAAATCATTAATGAATAAGGTGAAGGTTGACATTTTCAGCATGGGGGACAGGCTATGACTGACCTGCCACAAAAACCAAAGCATTTATCCACATTTGAAGTGGATAAATGAAGTAAGGGGACAGGAGAGAGAGGCAGAAAGAGGCCAAGAGAAAGTTTCAAGGTTAAAATATTGGGCAGAAAAAGGAATCTTTGCAGAATGTTTTGTGTGGACACACAGAGGGCAAAGTTACGTTACAGGCCAGAGAGAACACCAGGTAGTGATGGGCTGTAGTGGCTGGGAGGCTAAGAATTAGGATGTGTCCAGAGTTTGTGAATGGATGAGAAAATCTTTTAGATGTTATACAGGAGAAAAATCTACAAGACTTCAATATAGCTCAAAAGGGAGTGCCCACTGGTGAAAATGATACCTAAATCATGAACCTGAAGGACAGGAAAGATGGTGCAGTCCATCCTTATTGAGCAAATAATATGGAGTGAGCACTCAGGGAGAAATTATTAAGACTTTAATTCTTGCTGTATTGATCTTGAACAGAAGGGTCAGCATAAGTAAAGAGGTGTCAGAGAGACAGGCTGAGGTATTCATTTAGACAGCAGTGTAATGGTCTGAAGAGGATAAGCAGGTCCATTGAATTATTAGTTGAATCATTTTGCTGATCAGATTCAATACATGTAAGAGGAAGGCGAGCAGAGCATGTGGGATACTCACAAACCTGAAGAGAAACAAGAAGGATACTCTGCAATGTGCACTGAGGTAGCAATTGCAGAGGTAGAAAAGACACAGTCAGGAAGCCGAGGAAAATAGGATTTCTAAGAAGGCAAATATGATTCTTTATCAGAAATACCTATCAGTTTGAAAAAGAGGAGGAAGGAGTGCCGATCCTAAACTGTCTAGGAAGCTGTCATTGAAGATTTCAGCAGACTAGGTTTTCCATGAGTGTGCTGGAAAGCTTTGAACAAGTGTTCTGTTTGCATTCATATTTAGTATGAGCAGGCTTAAAACCTTGAAGAGTTAACAAAATTACCTATTTTCCCCTCATAACTCTTTTGCAGTAAAGTGTTTTTTGTTTTATTGTTGGTTTTGGGGGTTTTTTTTCTTATTTTTTGGGGTTTTTTTGTTTGGTTGGTTGTTTATTTTTAAATTTGAAAACCAAATAATTTTAAGCAGTCTGACTAAAATTTTGTCTTCAAGCTGTTCAGATTTCTGTTTTAGTCAAACGAAATGTTAGGTTCCAATTTGCTTATATGATTCTGGAAAACATTAGGATGCTACTAACCAATTCAATAAAGGCACTCTCTCCTTGCTCTGCCTCATAATTAAAAACCAAAAAAGTCTGAGTTAAATGCATGGGCCCTATGTGGTGTACTGAGTGTCTACAGACTCAGGTTATGGTGTGTCAGTGGAAGATGCTAAATCCAGTCATTGGAAGCCTTCACCAGGAGAATGCAAGTTACTCAGATGTGGAGGCTATCTGCAAGAGTGTTCCCCTGATCTGCAGCACCAGGCAGACCACACTGGAACAGTGCCCAAATCAAATTTAACCCGATCAGAATTTAACCCTCCAGACTTTATAAGTCAGCATCAGCCATCCAACCTGCATCTGGAAGCATAAAAGTAGTCAATGCAGCCTCCAGAGAGCTGCTGCAAGAGTCTCCTTGTGGCTGGTAAGAGTCCATCTTGCCCAGCATGTTGATAACTATGTTTAGACCTGGCAGCAGATTCTCAGTGATCTTCAGGGTTAGACTTGACTACAGCCTATTGCAAGAAAGTGAGCCTAAGATTAGTTCTGCTTGGTGTTAGAAGGTTCTTATTTTCTGCACAGAAATGTAAAGAAGGCTGGTGGGTTTTTTTATTTGTTTGCTTGCTTGGTTGTTTTTCCAATTTAAAAGTTCCATAGAAATACTGAGGTACAAAAATGCAATAGTCTGGAATGACCCAGAACTAAAAATCTCACCATGGTTGTGCAGGGAGTATATGGCCTTAGTTTGTAGTGTGCAAACCTTCTGTTGTTCTGCAGCCTTTAATGACAGAGTAAATTTGAGAGGGCACTTAGGGTGACTCTGCCCTTTTGCTCAGGCAAGTTTGGGCAACTCTTGTTACCTGGGATGAAGGAAGGCTGAAATCAAGAGTAGTCAAAGAAGAATGCAAAAAATTCTTTCAATGCGGGTGAGAACAAGCTGCCTTCTTCCCCTGGCACCTTGCTGGAGGCTATGGTGTCTCAGTTTTCCCATTTTTTTGGAGTGCTCTTTGATTTATTTTATCCTGTGATCCCCATGGCAGAGCCTTGGTAGGGGGGTACCACTGCTGGTTGGTCAGTCCTTTGAGCATGAGGGTTGACAAAATCCATCCCTTTCCTGCCTCCTTCTGTGTACAGGTGATGCACAGAGTGCGCTGGCTGCTCTGAGCATCCCAAACGAGAACCGGCTTCCTGCAATGCTGTGCTGAGAGGGGAGGTCACTGCCAAGGGACACAGTAGAAGGGGAGGCAGAAAGCATGATGTCATGCAGTTGACTGAGCTTTCCACAGAGGAAAAAAGTACAAGGGAAAAGTAATGCTCCCTCCCAGAGTTTTCAAAAGATACGGAGTACATTTGGAGAAGGAAAGGGGATGTAAATCCTACAACCCACAGATGAGTGTCTCAACATAATGTTAGGTTCCAAATGATAATGACTGGAGTTGTACCAGAAGTTATCAGAAACTGGTGAAGGAAGACTGGGCTGGAGGAATGGTATCTGATGAGGCAAAATGAAAGGAGAAGCACTACCAGTGCTGACCTAGGCTGGCAAAGAAATATCAGATTCAAATACTAAAGTAAGTGTTTAGTTATTTTATAAGAAGAAACTA